AGCAATTGTCAAAGCTTGTCAACTTGCTAATAAGGGATTAGCAAAATAATAAAGCTTATGCTTTGGGTATAGAAAGGCTGTGGAAACTGATGGATTATGTAGCTTGGATACAGAAGAATTACATAAGCAGCCAGTTTGGCGGGGTGGGGGACGGGGAACGGGTGAGACGGGGCCAGGGGACGAACTGGACTCCCTAACTAGATAAAGCTTGAAGTTTAGTTACAAATAGTAACAAATGTCATAGTCAACTCCCTTGTTAGAGAGGAAATGTGGAGGAGGAGGATTTGTGTTGCCAGGGACATTGGCTGTCAGTCAGAGATTAAAAATCCAATATATCAAAGAAGTGAAGAATGAGGATACATCTGCGGCTGCTCCCTATAATCATGAAGTTTCATTTCTCAAGAATGGCTTCTGAGGATCTGATCGCCATGGGTGCATAAACCACAGACCCCGTAACAAATAATAAGCTCTGACTTGAAATAGGCTCCTTTGTACCAGGAATTTTTCTCAAGCAGCAAAAGCAGTGCAGCTAGAATATAGATTGTGTGCATGCTCAGTCACTCAGTTGTGTCCGACTCTGTGTGACCCTATGGACTGTAGCCTGCGAGGTTCCTCTGTTTATAGTTTACAACCTCCCAAACACCAAACACCTTCCCACACACCTTTTTCCCTTTAGTTTAGAGGAATTTTTTTTTTCTGAAATTAGAATGATCAGAGATTGAATTTTTCCACACGTTAATTTTTCATATAAGTGACATTTGTGTCTTTGAGTACTGTAACTTTTCCTCTTGAAAACTAAAAAAAAAAAAAAAGATCTAATTTTTACATGTTTATGAAAAAGGAATTTTAATGATGTAGAATAATGAAAAGAAAATACTATTTGTCCAGATCTGGTTACCCAGATGATGTTAGGTGAATAACATCCAAAGAACCTTTATGTATGCATATAATAGCAGACTGGGTAGATAGGTAGAATAGGCTCATGAAACTCTTTTTGAAAATCTTGAGTCTAGATATGTTTTAGAGTTTGGAATTTTTATATTTGGGTAAGATAATATGGTATATATACTGTATATCTTATATCTCCCAGCAGGATCTAAATGATACATAATTTAGTATATTAACACTTTTGCATAAGAATGTTCACACTAAAAGATTTTTAGAAGACTGCAAATAGCCTCACTTAAATTCAGGACAGATTTTGCTGCTAAATGACTTATAAAGTATATAAAACATATTCAATTTTCACAGTTTTTTAAATTTCAGAATTACAGATAAGGAATTGTGGACCTGTGTTTTCATAAATGGGATGACGTGACATATGCTATTTTTTAGAGAAAAAGTAATCAATTTAATTGTACCTATAATTGACAGAATAAATAGAAACTGAAGTGAAACCAAAGGAATTGCCGTACTTCACATAAATGTTTCTTTATTACAAAAGATATTATTTTCTAAAATATCTTTCCAAGGTTAAAAGATGAGAGTAAGGAAAATAATAAGAGATTGGAGTCATTCTCTTGGTTGGAATAATTTCTGGCAGCGACCTTCTCAACATGTTTGAGTACTATTAGGCTTATGGCCATCCAAATATTCTGTAACTTTTTCTTTAGTATCGTGAAATTCAAATAACATAATCTACTCATGTAGATATTGAAAATATTAATATAAAGCCCAATATGTAGGAAAATAAAAATAAATTAATTTGTTATAAAATATAGTGATATGGATTTCAATATTTAAATCCTTGGGCATTACTACTAAAGACACAATGAAGAAGCGAGATGCTTGCTGTATGTATAATTAACAAGTTTAGATTTAATATAAATTATAAGAAGAGAAGCCATTCCATTCAAAATGATAGCAGAGGTGTGATGTACGCTAGACTAAAACTTGGTATTAAGTAGTTATATTTGCCGTACACCCGAAACTAAACATTGTAAATCAATAAAAAATGTTTAAAGTAATTATAGAGAAGACTTACTTGTATACGCAAAATAGGGAAGTAAACTTAATGCAAGTAAGAATAACCTGTGAAGTACTAGGTAGAGAAAATGAAGGCATACGCTAATTGTTGAAAATGAGTACTGTCTTCTTTTCAAGGAAGCTGTTATAATTTTCTATGTTGCATCATGAGATGGGATAGTGAAAAAACATGTCAGAAATCATACGCCTATCTCAATGCCTGACTACACGTTGGAGCAAATATTTTGACTCTTAAGACTTTTGATCTTGGAGATCTTGGAGACCATGTCTTTCACAAGTTGACGGGAAACTGAGAAGATCTGAAAGAAGGAGAAGTATTTAAGAGTTTACAGAGAAGCTGTGTGGCAGACCTTTGGGGAAAGTATCAGATAAGACTGAAAACCAGTAGAAAATCTCCAAATAAATCATTTCAATATGTAATTTGACAACATAGATTTCTTATCACTGTGCTGCAAATTTTAAAAAATTGTACAGGATAGCAATAAAATATTTTTAAAAGTAATCTTTATGAAATTCATTGATATATCTACATTTCATTTGACTCTACTAATTTAATGATGTATGGTTTCAAGTCTATTAAAAGAAGTCTCAAATCTCCCTTTACACATTTGCATCTGGTTTCATTCTATTTCCAGGAATTGTACCACTGCTGTGAAACCATTTTCAACTAAATACTTAGTTGGAAAAAAAGGCTACAAATAATTTAGGTCTTTCCAAGAAGTGAGTATGCAAATTTGGAGTCTCAAACTTTTCCTAATTAGATTAATTAAACTGTGTTTTGGCTTCAAAATCTTTCATTTATTTAAACTCAATAAACTTTTCCTGCAAATATTGCCTGGTTTGCAATGTATTAATCAGCCCTATCTTTTATTAATTTATTTAGTTTTAATTGGAGGATAATTACTTTACAACATTGTGTTGGTTTCTGTCATACATGAACATGAATCAGCCATAGGTACACATATGTATTCCATAGGTATACATAGGAATTCCAGTTGAGCTATTTCAAATCCTAAAAGATGATGCTGTGAAAGTGCCGCACTCAATAGGCCAGCAAATTTGGAAAACTCAGCAGTGGCCACAGGACTGGAAAAAGTCAGTTTTCATTCCAATCCCTAAGAAAGGCAATGCCAAAGAGTGTTCAAACTACCGTACAATAGCACTCATCTCACACGCTAGCAAAGTAATGCTCAAAATCCTCCAAGCTAGGCTTCAATAGTACATGAATTAAGAACTTCCAGATGTTCAAGCTGGATTTAGAAAAGGCAGAGGAACCAGAGATCAAATTGCCAACATCCACTGGATCATCAAAAAGCAAGAGAGTTCCAGAAAATCATCTACTTCTGCTTTATTGACCATGCCAAAGCCTTTGACTGTGTGGATCACAACAAACTGAAAAATTCTGAAAGAGATGGGAATACCAGACCACCTGACCTGTCTCTTGAGAAATCTGTGTGCAGGTCAGGAAACAACAGTTAGAACTGGACATGGAACAACAGGCTGGTTCCAAATAGGAAAAGGAGTATGTCAAGGCTATATATTGTTACCCTGCTTATTTTAACTTATATGCAGAGTACATCATGAGAAACGCTGGGCTGGATGAAGCACAAGCTGGACTAAAGATTGCCAGGAGAAATATCAATAACCTCAGATATGTAGATGACACCACCCTTATGGCAGAAAGTGAAGAAGAACTAAAGAGCCTCTTGATGAACGTGAAAGAGGAGAGTGAAAAAGCTGGCTTAAAACTCAACATTCAGAAAACTAAGATCATGGCATCTGGTCCCATCACTTCAAGGCAAATATAAGGGGAAACAATGGAAACAGTGACAGACTTTATTTTCTTAGGCTCTAAAATCACTGCAGATGGTGACTGCAGCCATGAAATTAAAAGACTCTTGCTCCTTGGAAAAGAAGTTATGACCAATCTAGACAGCATATTAAAAAGCAGAGACATTACTTTACTGAGAAAGGTCCATCTAGTCAAGGCTATGGTTTTTCCAGTAGTCATGTACAGATGTGAGAGTTGTACCATAAAGAAAGCTGAGTGCTGAAGAATTGATGCTTTTGAACTGTGGTCTTGGAGAAGACTCTTGAGGGTCCCTTGGACTGCAAGGAGATCCAACCAGTCAATCCTAGAGGAACTCAGTCCTTAATATTCATTGGAAGGACTGATGCTGAAGCTGAAGCTCCAATACTTTGGCCACCTGTTTCAAAGAACTGACTCACTGGAGAAGACCTTGATGCTGGGAAAGATTGAAGGCAGAGAAGAAGGGGATGACAGAGGAGGAGTTGGTTGGATGGTATCACCGACTCGATGGACATGAGTTTGAGCAAGCTCCGGGAATTGGTGATGGACAAGGAAGCCTGGTGTGCAGCAATCCATGGGGTTGCAAAGAATCAGATACGACTGAACAACTGAACTGAACTGAACTGATACATATGTCCCCTCTCTCTTGAATCTCCCTCCGACTTTCCACCCCATCCCACCCATCTAGGTTGTCACAGAGCACTGGGTTGAGCTCCCTGAGTCAGACAGCAAATTCCCACTAGCTATCTATTATGGTTATAGTAATATATATGATTCTACTGTACTCTCAATTCATCCCACCCTCTCCTTCCTCCACTGTGTCCACAAGTCTGTTCTCTCTGTCTGCCAGCCCTATCTTTAAATCTAAACTAACTAAAAATTTAAAAGACAACATTTGAAAACCAGTCGTTTAAGAACAACTCTTTCTTTAGGGAGAATGAAGAATGCTCTGGACCAGGAGCTTAGTTAGGTTCAGACTTCTGAAAGGCCCTCGAAGCTCCGCCCCGCACAGCCCCGCCTGCAGTCCCCGCCCCGCACTGCCCCGCCCCACACGTAGTCCTCGCTCCTCTTCCGTACACACCGCCTCCAGAGCGGGCGTCGACGTCGCCGGAAGTGACGTACGTGGGCCGCCGGAGGTGTCGTTGGTGCGTTGCGCGACTGGGCCTGAGAGTGGAGTGGGGCCTGCGCCCGGAAAGACAACGCTATGTCGATCGAAATCGAGTCCTCAGAGTGAGTCTCATGGTGTCGGATGTTCGCGAAGTGGCCGAGCCGGGAGTCGATGAGTTGAGGGGTGGAAGCTGCTTGAGGGAGGCGTCCGAGAGGTTGGGCAGTGGAGGGGTATTTACTTCCCCACAAAGAAGCTTCTGGGATCTGACTGCTTCAGGGGCGGGCCCACAAGAAAGTAGCGAACGGAAAGCCCAAAGCCCGGTGGAAGGCGGCGCGGGGCTAGGGGTAGGACGTGCCCGCAAACCTGAGTTCTTCTCGCCGACTTCTGATGCGCCCTGAGACTGAGCAGATTAGCCATCCAGTCAGGACTCCGGTCTCATCTGCACAGGGGGCCGCACTCTTAACCGGCCCTCTCTTCCTGCCCCCTTGAGCACGGTGGTTTGGTGTGCTTACACGGCCCTCTGGATTATTCTGCCTAGCTCTTAATCGGGTACTGTCACCGTTTGCTCACCCTTCTAGCCTGTGTCGGCGCCTGGGGGCTGCTTTTTATCAGGTTGGCCTGTGAGCTTTGTGTAGCCCCAAGGGAGGGACAGAATGTGGAAATTGGGCCAGGAGAATGATGGATTTGGGGGAGAGGGGTGCTAATGAGTGACTGAAGAAAGTCTTCGGTGAACTTCTCCAGGACTCCATCCTCTACTTGCTCTTGCCAACGCTTTATAATTAAATCGGCAGACTTAACATGAGTTAAGGGAGAGGACCTGTCCTCAAGATCTGCCGTAGGAGGAAGGGAGGTTTATTCATTCAGGAAATATTGAAGTCTGCTGTGTACCTGCTCTAGACCCTGGGAATATGGTAGTGAATGAAGCAGACCAAAGTCCTTGCCCTTATAGAAAGAGGAAGGAGACAGCAGACAAAAGCAGTAAGTAAAATAGGCTTACAGATAGTGTAAGTGTTGTGGAGAAAAGTAAAACAAGGGTGATGGAGAGTGCTGGGGATGAAGGCAACTAGGAGTTGGCAGGAATTGGAAAGGATTCCTTGCTTCAGAGCCTGAATTAAAAGTGAGAACAAAAAAAAAAGTGAGAACAGATCATTCTCCCAGCCCTGAGCTGCTGCATGTTTTTTTATTATCAATAACTGCTGTGTTAAGTATTTTCTCTGCTAGTCACACTGTAGGCAGTGTCATCTTCTCTTTGATCAGCCCAACAGACTGATCTGTATACCCTTCAGAGTAGGTATTTTTCTTAACAGATGAGGAAATAGGCAAAGACACATTAACTGACTTGTCCAAAGTCACAGTAAGTGCAGAGCTCTGATTCAAATCCCAATCTATCTCCAAAGCTTTTAACTCTTATGTATTACACAAAGAAGAACGTGAATTTGATTTTGGCTCTAGCAAATATGAGTTCTTTGCAAGCATGGTGTCTCATTGTGGGTGTGTAAATGGAAGTGTGCTGTGGGAAACAGTGTGGCGCTGGAACAGCAGGGATCCAAGCTGGGATCTCTTAACAGGCCCATGACAGAAAAGACCACTGTGAGTAGTGGTATTCACTTTCCTTCTGCAAGAACTATTTTTAAGAAGAGGGGGTTTGCTTTCTTATCTGGGCTATTGGAAGGACTGATGCTAAAGCTCCACAACTTTGGCCACCTGTTGGAAAGAGCCGACTCATTAGAAAAGACCCTGGTGCTGAGAAGGATTGAAGGCAGGAGGTGAAAGGGATGAGAGAGGATGAAGTGGTTGGATGGCATCACTGGCTCAATGGGCGTGAGTTTGAGCAAGCTCCAGGAGAATTATGAAAGACAGGGAAGCCTGGCCTGCTGCAGTCCATGGGTTCGCAAAGAATCAGACACAACTGAGTGACTGAACAGTAACAATATATGCTCACATGCCACCCTGCCAATTTGAATCTTCCTTTTTCCACTTAGCTCTGTTTCCTGGCCAAATCCTCATCTGTAAAATGGACATAAGAGTAAATGCCATCCTCATAGGGTTGTTTTGAGGAGTAACTGAGTCCAAAATGCTTAGAACAGTACCTGATATATTGTGAACACTGGTCAAGTAAACATTGGTCATTGTGTTTTGATTATTATTTCTTTCCCGGGAAAGAGAACAGACTAAATTCCATTATGAAATCTCTTCCAATCTGGACAGTGTGACCCCTGATGCTCATGCTGTACAGTAGAAATATGCATGAGCCATATGTGTACTTCTAAGGCAAGAGAAGAACAGTGTAATACAACAATGTACATGAACTTTTACTTTCTATATAAAAAATTATTCACCAGACTCCTTAATACTAAGCCAAAGACCAAGATATATTAACTATATATATTTATATATATATATATTTAACTATAAATGACTTGTAAATTTTCTGTCACATGCTGAAAATTGTTGCTTGTTCTCTCAATATTTGGAGATTGTCTGGATCCTCTTTCCCTTGGGAAAGTGTAGCAACATGTTTTTATTTCACTTGTCCTGAAATTATAGTAATAATGGCAGTGGGTAGGTGTTATTTTTGTGAGGACACAAAGCTTTGTTTTCAATTTACATCTAATATAGCTCTACTTACTTGTGTTCAACAAATCCCTATTAAAAAGGTCTCAGTTCATATTTTTTTTTGCTGTCATTTAAAAGTGGACCAAACCATCCAGTCATTTCTGTGTCAGCGAGTAGACTAGGTTTAAAATATTTTCCTAAAGTGTGCAACAGTGGAATCATACGAGTTAACAGGAAACTTGGCATAATAAAAAGATCTCTGACCTTGCAAGTATGAGAGTCTTCTTGGTACTATCTTGCTTTCTGACTGAGAGACACGGGACAAGTTATTTCCCCTCACTGAACTCCAGTTCTGTGTACGGGTTCGAAGTGGGAACTGGGTGATCCCCAGGGTCTTCTGTAACTCGGACTCTATGATGTGGGGGGTGGGGGAGGGAAGGTTTTACTCACAGGATAAATGGAAAGCAGGTAGTGAAAGGAGGATGGGTGCAGAAAAAAATAAACTGGGCCTAGTTTTGTGGCATCTTTGGTGAGTGAGGATCCCTGAGCTGAATGACACGCTTGCTTCTTTCAGTGTGATCCGGCTCATTATGCAGTACCTCAAGGAGAACAGTCTACATCGGGCGCTAGCCACCTTGCAGGAAGAGACGACTGTGTCTCTGAATACAGTGGACAGCATTGAGAGTTTTGTGGCTGACATTAATAGTGGCCATTGGGATACTGTTTTACAGGCTATACAGTCTCTGAAATTGCCAGACAAAACCCTCATTGACCTCTATGAACAGGTAAGAGTGGGGATAATGCTGATTCCTGGACCTGGGTTTATTGTGGGCCTCCCTGACCAGAGAGCATCCATAAGCATTTCTACAAGTGTTTTGGGCTGTGAGAGCCCTTAAAATTTACTCTCGAAGCTTGAGTGTTACTCTGTATTTTTTAAAAATCTTTATTTTATTTATTATTTATTTATTTGGCTGCACCGAGTCTTAGTTGCAGCATGTGGGAACCAGGGCCCCCTGCATTGGGAGCATGGAATCTCAGCCACTGGACCAACAAAGACGTCCCCCACTACTCCGTATTTTTATCTCTCTTCTTGGAAAAGCCAAGATTTCCCCAAATTGGTATTATTTCTCAAGTAACCATTAAATGATCTAACATCAACCATTCATACACCAAATAGTGTACTGAAGTTTAGTTCTGACACTAACCACCACTAACCAACCACTGACTTGTTGGTGTAGACCCCACAAGTTAAGGGCTCAGTCCTCTATAGGACTGTCTTTATTTCACACACCAGTAATATTTTGATGTCTTGGGCCACCCACACTTCTGACCAACTGGCCACAAATTTAAGGGTCCTCATGACCCACTCAGAATGGATATTTCAGTAGAATGACGCAGAACTCAGAAAAGTGACATAGTGATGATGGCAGTTTTATTATCAAGGGAAGAGATCAGTACCAGCCAAATAGAGAGACACGTAGGGTAAGGTTTGGGAGGGTACTGAACCACAGTCTCCAGTGCCTTCTCCCCATGGAGTTAGGGTTGGTCTGTCGCCTGGCATTGAAGTATTCATCAACCAAGAAGCTTCATAATTTTTCATTCAACCTCCAGTTCTTTTTTTTTTTTTCAACCTCCAGTTCTTTGACTCTCTTTGGGGTTGGGCTGGTTCAAAGCATCAGCAACCCTCAAATCATGTGGTTGGTCCTAGTGGTAACCAGTCCCTATCCTGAGCCATCTCCGTAGCGCTAACTAGGTGTGATGCAGAGCGCTCATGAATAACAAGGGTATTTATTAGCAGGGAGATTCCAAGGTTTTTAGAAGTTCTATGCCAGGAAACCAGTACATAGATCATAAAATTGTTTAACTGTACAACAGAGCCGAGTAGACTTTCTGGAAATAAGAATGTTGTGTGATTTGAAGTGAAAATAGGGAAATGGGTTTGTTTCTTTACAATCCATGTGGGTTTAGTAATACCCTGAAGAAAATTTTGGTTACTGAAGGACAGTTTCTCTGGAGCCCATGGATATATTTCCATCTTTTTAGTTTTTTTTAGCATCTTACATTTGGAATAAGAGACCTGACAGGAGGGGAGATTGGTAGATAAAAAGGAAGGATGGAAGTTATTATTGTATAACTACTTTAGTTGTCTGCGTGAAATTGCCTGTGGAGAGGGAAAAGGGCATTTCCTGGTTTGTGATTTGGAAATCACTTTGGCAGACCATTTCTGTGTCGGAAATTGTACTGAAAAAGAAAACGAGCTAAGAGAATGCATTGAAACCACCACTTTCTTTCAATTTTACAGGTTGTTTTGGAATTGATAGAGCTCCGAGAATTGGGTGCCGCCAGATCTCTTCTGAGACAGACTGACCCCATGATCATGTTAAAACAAACACAGCCAGAGCGGTATATTCATCTGGAAAACCTCTTGGCCAGGTCTTATTTCGATCCTCGGGAGGTAAGACTGATAATGGAAAGAAACTGCTGTTGACTTTGAAAATGTGCAGTAATGTGATATATATATATTTTTTAATAATGTGATTTTTTTTTTTTTAATAATGTGATTTTTTTTAAACCATGTTATTGGATACTTTTTATAATTTTGATTTAGTTTTTACAATGATACTTTTTTGTTTATTTACATTGGTTGAAATTTGCATATATTAAAGAGGGTAGTCTTGTTCATTTTCTGAGTACTTGAGGGCCTTATGCACACACCCCATCATATAGGATTATGTGTTCATTAGTGAAAAAGCAGAAGGTTTATTCTGGTGTTATTTCTATTATTAGCCTAAGTACCTGCCCAGAGGCACTGCTCTACTGTTGGTGTGTTCACTGTGCATTTGTGTCCTTAGCCCTTAACAACTGCAGTTTCCTTTCAGTTCTTTTATTTCTTAAAAGCTTATGTTTCTGCTTCTCAGCTGCTTATGCTCCTGGTAGAGCATTATGATTGATACTCTTTTATTCTTCAAAACTCTTAGATATAGTTTCATTCTTTTTCAGCCAGCCTTTTACCAGAAGCTTTTCTAAATAGGAGGAAGAAGAATTTAATAGGCCCTGAGTAACGGAAAAGTTACAGTAAACTCAAGGAAACCATGAGGATAAAAGAAGGAGTTTAGATTGCCAGGACAGAACTTAAGTTAGAGTTGTTAAAGAATTTCGGGGCTGGGAGTCATTTGACTGAAAGAAATTATTAAAGATTATAAAAGAATCCTTGGCTTTGCAGATGTTTTAAAAACTGGAAAAACAACTCTGACTTTTACATAGTTTATTATTATTGACGTATACTTATTATTATGAGACTCTTTGACATGTATTTGGGCTTCCCTGGTGACTCAGAGGGTAAAGCATCTGCCTGCAATGCGGGAGATCTGGGTTCAATCCCTGGGTGAATCCCTGGGTTGGGAAGATCCCCTGGAGAAGGAAATGGCAACCTACTCCAGTATTCTTGCCTGGAAAATCCCATGGACGGAGGAGCCTGGTAGGCCACAGCCCATGGGGTTGTAAAGAGTCAGACACGACTGAGTGACTTTGCTTGCTTGACATGTATTTATTATTTACTATTTTGAGGCTCTTTTCAGAAATAACTGTGGATTGGCTGACCTCAGTTCTGTCTCAGCTCATGCTTTTGAAATGCAAGTGGGTAGAATTGAGACATCATTTTAAAAAACTAACTAATTTGATTAATCCTCTGTTTAACTGGGTAGTTTCTTTTTATCTTTTGCGTTTTGAATGTTTCTGCTTCGTTACTGGTATTTTTTAAAAAATAAGCACATTTATATCTTTTTCCATTTCTTGGAAATGATGCTATGCCCCTCCCCTTTTTCAGGCATACCCCGATGGCAGTAGCAAAGAGAAGAGAAGAGCAGCCATTGCCCAGGCCTTAGCTGGGGAAGTCAGCGTGGTGCCTCCATCTCGTCTCATGGCTTTGCTGGGTCAGGTAATTAAAGTCTTTGGAACTGAAATTCCTGTGAACTCCTGGTAATGTTTCTTGTGTATAAACTCTTATGTATGAGCTGAAGAAATTAACCTAAGAACTGGGAACTACCTATAGAACTGCTTGTACCGACAGCTGTGTCGTGCCACATTCGTCCTTCCTGGGAGTGGTAGTGCAGATTAGTGGTTACGGGCATACACCCTGGAGACAGATTTAGAGTAACAATAAAATTTATTGTCCTATTTTGACATTGTTGATCATCGACTCAGAACACCAGAAGAAATATTTGCCATAGTTATAATCTGAGCTCTCTCACTTACCGGCTCTGTAGTATTGGACACATTGCCTAACTTTTTTGATCCCATTTACTCATCATGGTGTTGTACTAAGGATTAAAGGAGATAAAATGTACTTAAAGCAATTGTATGTTGACTGGCACCTTGTTAATACTCAGTAAATAGTAGCTGCCAGTGGTGTTCTTTTTTATTTTTTTAAGCAGTAGTAGTAGTATTAGCATTGCCATTATTATTTATAAAGCTGACTAGAGTGTTAGATGTTACATAAATAGCAGAGTTACAAGTCATTAACAGAGATATAAATAGCCTGTTTACACTAAATCTGCATTTTGAAAGGGGCCAAAAAGCTACTGTTAGAGGCTTACAGTGTTTCTGAAATTCAAAAATAAGCTGCTTTATTTCTTAATTTACTCTTTATCTAAGTGATAGATGTGCATAATTTAAGTAGTACCTCGAGGCTTTTAGAGCTTCCTTGTTGGCTCAGATGGTAAAGAATATGGCGGGCCACAGTTCATGGGCTCGCAAAGAGTCAGATACAACTGCGTGACTCACACTTTGACGTCTCAGGGCTTTTAGTGAGAAAATAGTTCCATCTGCCCTTTTCCACCTTCTTACTTCCCACAACCATTTTTAACTCTTGGCATTTACCTTTGTAGCTAAATATCATGCTTATAATGTCATATTTTGATATTTTTTAGAAAAAGTTTTAAACACTAACTGTTGACTAGTGGAAGACGATTTCTCTCTTACCTGTTCCCCACAACATGCACACATTCTTCTTTCTCTAGATTTTCAGTATAGTTATATCACAGCTTTTGGTTAAATCAGTTCAGTGTTTACATTATCTTTACATCAATATTGATTGTAGACAAAAAATAGCTATTTAATTTCTTATGTAATTTTGATGATTCTTTGCACTAATTGCTTAATTTCTTTCTTTTGCCTAGTTTTCTGTGTAACTTTTGCTTCTTCATCCTGTATCATTAAATAAGTGTAAAAATTCTCCCTTTCCCCCTGCTTGCTGATATTTTCCCTGAGGCCTTTCTCTCTCTTCTTCTCATGATTTCCTGCACAGTGATTGTACTGGGAGTTCTTTCACCTTCATACTGAGAGTTCTGGGTCATATTTTTCAGGAACATGTTTTCCTTCTCATAGTTTAGAACCTTGTTTTAATGGAATACTTCTGGTAACTTCCTAAGGAAGGGTACACAGAGGTAAGTTTTTGAGAGTTTGCTTGTGTAAGCAATGTCTCTTACCTCTTTTTTTTTTTGAAGGTTTTGTTTATTCTGAAATACAAGAAAAGTCATAGGAGTCCTGCCACCCAGAGTTTACATATGCATGTTAACAAATTGTTTTGTTTCATAGAATTTGTGCATCTTTTTTAATGTATACATGAAATATTTTTAATGTTAATGTCTTTTTTGAAAAAAACTTTTTTATATTATAGTTAAGAGGTAGTCACATTCAGAATCTCCACAGAAGATAATATCAGGAGAGGCCATGTGTATATTCATTCTACAAGTATTAAGCACCTGATATGTGCCAGGCATTGTTTAGATACTTGTGATATATCCATGAAATAAAGATGTCTTTCTTGGAGGAGTTTATGTTCTTGTAGCAAAGATGGACACTAAATAGTAAACAGCATTTAGCAAATTATGGTATGATAGGAATGACTATTGTGCTTAGTCGCTCAGTTGCGTCCAACTCTTTGTGGCCCTATGGACTAGCCCACCAGGCTCCTCTGTCCATGAGATTCTCCAGGCAAGAATACTGGGTTGCCATGCCCTCCTCCAGGGTATCTTCCCAACCCAGGGATCGAACCCAGGTCTCCTGCATTGCAGGCGGGTCCTTTCCTGTCTGAGTCACCAGGGAAGCCCAACAGCTGTTGGGATAAGCTGAGAAACTTAGAGGAGAGGCGAGGCATGGTAAGTACATAGGTGGGTTGCAGACGTTTGTTAAGGGAGAGTGTTCAGTTCAGCTCAGTCCACTTGCTCAGTCGTGTCCAACTCTTTGTAACCCGATGGTCTGCAGCATGTGAAGCCTTCCTGTCCATCACCAACTCCTGGAGTTTACTCAAACTCATGTCCATTGAGTTGGTTGGTGATGCCATTCAACCATCTCATCATCTGTCATCCCCTTCTCCCGCCCTCAATCTTTCCCAGCATAAGGGTCTTTTCAAATGTCAGTTCTTCACATCAGGTGGCCAAAGTATTGGAGTTTCAGCTTCAGCATCAGTTCTTAAATGAATATTCAGGACTGATTTCCTTTAGGATGGACTGGTTGGATCTCCTTGCAGTCCAAGGGACTCTCAAGTGTCTTCTCCAGCAGCACAGTTCAAAAGCTCAATTCTTCAGCGCTCAGCTTTCTTTATAGTCCAATCCTCACATCCATACATGACCACTGGAAAAACCATAGCTTTGACTAGACATACCTTTGTTGGCAGAGTAATGACTCTGCTTTTTAATATGCTGTCTAGGTTGGTCATAACTTCTTTTCCAAGGAGCAAGAGTCTTTTAATTTCATGGCTGCAGTCACCATCTGCAGTGATTTTTGGAGCCCCCCAAAATAAAATCTGTCACTGTTTCCATTGTTTCCCCACATATTTGCCGTGAAGTGATGGGACCAATGCCATGATCTTAGTTTTTTGAATGTTGAATTTTAAGCTAACTTTTTTGTGCTCCTCTTTCACTTTCATCAAGAGGCTCTTTAGTTCTTCCGGATTTTCTGCCATAAGGGTAGTGTCATCTGCATAAGTGAGGTTACTGATATTTCTTCTGGCAATCTTGATTCCAGCTTGTGCTTCATCCAGCCCACTGTTTCTCATGATGTACTCTGCATATAAGTTAAATAAGCATGGTGACAATATACAGCCTTGACATACTCCTTTTCCTATTTGGAACCAGCCTGTTGTTCCAAGTCCAGTTCTTACTGTTGCTTCCTGACCTGCATACAGATTTCTCAAGAGACAGGTCAGGTGGTCTGGTATTTCCATTTCTTTCAGAATTTTTCATAGTTTGTTGTCATCCACACAGTCAAAGACTTTGGCATGGTCAATAAAGCAGAAGTAGATATTTTTCTGGAAGTCTCTTGCTTTTTGATGATCCAGTGGATGTTGGCAATTTGATCTCTGGTGCCTCTGCCTTTTCTAAATCCAGCTTAAACATCTGGAAGTTCACAGTTCACATATTGCTGAAGCCTGGCTTGGAGAATTTTGAGCATTGCTTTACTTGCATGTGAGATGAGTGCAATTATGTGGTAGTTGGATCAATTTTTGGCATTGCCTTTCTTAGGGATTGGAATGAAAACTGACCTTTTCCAGTCCTGTGGCCACTGCTGAGTTTTCCAAATTTGCTGGCCTATTGAGTGCAGCACTTTCACAGCATCATCTTTTAGGATTTGAAATAGCTCAACTGGAATTCCATCACCTCCATTAGCTTTGTTAGTAATGATGTTTCCTAAGGCCCACTTGACTTCCCATTCCAGGATGTCTGGCTCTAGGTGAGTGATCACACCATCGTGATTATCTGGGTCGTGAAGATCTTTTTTGTATAGTTCTACTGTGTATTCTTACCACCTCTTCTTAATATCTTCTGCTTCTGTTAGGTGCATACCATTTCTGTCCTTAATTGTGCCCATCTTTGCATGAAGTGTTCCCTTGGTATCTCTAATTTTCTTGAAGAGATCTCTAGTCTTTCCCATTCTGTTGCTTTCCTCTATTTCTTTGCATTGATCACTGAGGAAGGCTTTCTTATCTCTCCTTGCTGTTCTTTGGAACTCTGCATTCAAATAGGTATATCTTTCCTTTTCTCCTTTGCCTTTTGTTTCTCTTCTTTTCACAGCTATTTGTAAGGTCTCCTCAAACAACCATTTTGCCTTTTTGCATTTCTTTTTCTTGGGGATGGTCTTGATCCCTGCCTCCTATATAATGTCACAAACCTCTGTACATAGTTCTTCAGGCACTGTCTGTCAGATCTAATCCCTTGAATCTACTTGTCACTTCCACTGTATGATCGCAAGGTATTTGATTTAGGTCATACCTGAATGGTCTGGTGGTTTTCCTTATTTTCTTCAATTTAAGTCTGAATTTGGCAATAAGGGGTTCATGAACTGAGTCACAGTCAGCTCCCAGTCTTGTGTTTGCTGACTGTATAGAGCTTTTCTTGTCTTTGGCCGCAAAGAATATAGTCAGTCTGATTTCGATATTGACCATCTGGTGATGTCCATGTTTAGAGTCTTCTCTTGTGTTGTTGGAAGAGGGTGTTTGCTATGACCAGTACGTTCTCTTGGCAAAACTCTTATTAGCCCTTGCCCTGCTTCATTATGTACTCCAAGGCCAAATTTGCCTGTTACTCCAGGTATTTCTTGACTTCCTACTGCATTCCAGTCCCCTATAATGAAAAGGACATCTTTTTTGGGTGTTAGTTCTACAAGGTCTTAATAGGTCTTCATAGAACCATTCAACTTCAGCTTCTTCAGCATTACTGGTTGGAGCATAGACTTGGATTACTGTGATATTGAATGGTTTGCCTTGGAAATGAACTGAGATCATCTGTCATTTTTAAGATTGCATCCAAGTACTGCATTTCGGACTCTTTTGTTGACTGTGATGGCTGCTCCATTTCTTCTAAGGGATTCTTGCCCACAGTAGTAGATATAAAAGTCATCTGAACTCTTTTCCTCCCTGGCTGCTTGAAGATCAGCCGT